TAAAAAGCCTTCCAGGATGAAAACCGCCGCGAGCACCTCTGCGCACAGCCCCCGTGCAAAAGCCTCTTTCCCTATTATCCTACCCAGCAGCCATCTCCCCGCTGACAGCATCTGAGCAGCCTTTGGGCTGCCAGCCCTCTGCTGCATGCCCCAGCCTCTGTGGGGCACCAGCTTCATGGAGCAGGGAGAGATGCACGGCTCCGGAGCAAGGACCAAATTCCAGTTCCCTCCACGAAGCAGAGGAGATAACACCCGCAGCAAAGGGACTTGAGCCAGCAGGGCCCTGCCACGCTCATTGCATCCCTGCCGCAGGCTCCCCATCCCTTCTGGCTCTGTGCTGGGAAGGCCACGCAAACCTTCAAGCATCCCCACCCCACTGTCCCCAGCACACACCACATCCCCTCTTCCCTGTCCATTTTTGGCTGCGTTAGTCAGATTTGGAAAGCAAACCACTGCTAGCTTGTAAAAACCGGCCAGGCATCTGAGCCCTGGCCAGACTTTCCAACCCTTTCCCAGTGTGAGCAACCCCCCGGCTGTTGTGTCTGCCTGCAAACATTCAGCACGGAAACTCCCACGGCTCCTCCAGCCCGTGGCACCTGCTCCTCTCCGCGGCCAACGCAGGCAAACAATTCCCTCCAGTCTAAGCAGAGTCGGAGCTGCTGGGGGCTGCCAAGACAACTGGCTGCAGGTTTGGGGCTGGGTGGTTAGAGCAGCAGAGAACCAGAGCTCTGCTAAGGGCTGGATGAGGTTTATTAGGGGCACGGAGTACCTCTTGCTCCATCCCGGAGCTGCTCGGAAACTCACGGAGATTGCAGGAGGTGTTTGTGAGCCTGGCAGCATTCCTCCTGCCTCCCCGCACACACCGGACACGGGCACGCCGGGTGGAGCTGGCACAGCAAAGCAGAAGGGGAGGATGAGGAACAGGAGAAACAAGTCCTATTTCTGGGGCACCCAGGAATAGCTCCGCTCCAGAGGCTGCGGCTCAGCAGGACGGAGCTGAGCCGAGCTGCACAATGCGCAATTTTCTTGCAGCTCCAATCCCAGCCTTCCTGCTTCTTTAAAAAGCATCCTGCCTTGAAGTTTATATTTAGTTCGGACTGCCTGAGGACACGGAGCTGGACTATATCACCTGTGAAGGGTTCCCAGCCCCGTTTTCCCCAGCTCTGCCCCTGGCCGTGCCTGAGGGCTGGCACAGCTGCGGCTCTGGCCCTGGCCCAGCCCCGAGCGTTGCAGCGAGGCAGCCACAACTTTTATTTTTTTTATGAGTTTGCCCGTATCTGCTGGTTTTGTGTCACGTTCTGGTAACAGGAGGTGGCTGTGATTCACTCACTCGGTTTGTTTGTCTTTTTTTTTTTTTTCAATCTGCACAGAAGAGCAAGAAATTATTTTCAACCAACATTTTATGATACCAGCATCTCCCACCCTGTGAAAACGAGCCGGCTGCAGAAAATAGCACTGCTGGGAAAGTGAGAAGCTTTCTCCTGGAAATGTTGATGCTGCGAGAGCTTGGTGTAGCAGTACCCTACAAGATGTTTCACACTCTTGGGACCGTGGCACCTCCGAAAGCGGTGGCACCATGGAGCAGCAGCTGGTGGTGGCACTGCCATCTCTCCTCTTACCTCCGTCCCCCATCAGCTCTTACTTTCCTTCGCTAGCTGCAGGCACGAGGAGGCACGAAGAGCTCCTGGAAGAGCTCCTGGAGGCAGGGGCACTCGCTGCTGGCAGCGTTCCTCCCAGCCCACTGAGCTGAGGCTTGGCACAGCCTCTGGACTAGGGGCAGCGTGGGGTTTTTCCAGGAACTCTAATTTAAGCCCTCCTGAACCGGCCCCAGCTCCTCAACTCGGTTGAGGCAGCCAAGGGTCAAGTGTACGATCTTCCTCTTGCCCTGCAACACCGGTTTCGCTCCTGCGAGCTATGGAACAGCTCGAAACCAGTCCCCTCCAGCCCCGAAAGCCCCGTTAGCCTCGCCTGTCGATCAGCCTCCATCCCACCCCAAGGTGTGACTGCAGCAGGGAGCCAGAGAAGGGCCGTGAGCTTCTCTCAGGTCTGTGCATGCAGGGGTACGCCAGGACACGGCAGGCTGAAGAGTGGCGGTGGCTAAAAACGATTCCCTGGTGCCGCACGAACCCCCGGTGAGAGGAGCTGGCTGCCCCTGCCCTCGGGCTCCTCGCTGCGCTCCCCGGCTCTCCCGATGCTCGGTGACTTTCCGGTCAGCAGGCAGCAGCCTGGGGGGCCACCTCCCCGCTCCATGCAGGGTTTGGCACCCGGAGAGCTCTGCCCAGCTCTGCTACCAGGGCTGGCGAGCAGGAGCTCGGCGTGGGAGCTGCGTGCACCTCCCCAAACAAAGCCCAGCTGGCCGCTGTTTGGTTAGGGAAAGCCGGGGAGGACAAACAGAAGGAAATGTAACCTTGCACACCGTGTTTTCACCTGATATGCCTGCCTCTGCACCAGCACAGGCTGCTAAGGCTCCACTTGCCCCCCACCCCACAGATCTCAGGGATGTGGCACCGCAGACCCCAGCCCATGCCGGGTGAGCTGCGAAGGGGAAGGCGCCAAACTCCCCAGCAGAAAAAGGGATCTGAAGCGCTTCAGACATGACCCCTGGTCAGGAGCTGACCTCAGCCCTTTGCTCTGCCTTCTCCCCAAGAGGAAGAAATCCTGCAGAGTCAGACGTGCTTTCAAAGAACTGCTTAACCAGCGTTATATGGGAGCCAGCCACCTGCGCTGGCTGCTGCCAGAGCTCCTTCCCCACCGCCTTCGGGGCTAAACGCTGCTGTTTGGGAAAACGTGCCCCTGCCTCGCCCCGTCCTGCGCTGCCTTACAGAGTCAGCAGTGGGGAATAAAGGCAGAGCAGGCGCCCTGTCCGAGCCTCGGGGCTGGGTTTATGTGCAGTGCACTCCAGGAGAGATAAAGGCAGACCTGCAGCACACTTTGTTCCAGCCACGTCCCTGGCCCCAGGACTGCAGAATCACTTAGGGCCGGGCCGTTCCCGACCCCAAGGCAGGCCAACTCGGTTTCTTTGTCTTCAGAGCGGAGCTCTGGCTTGTGCCACCGAAGCCAGCAGCCTTTTCTTTCTGCTGACAGCACACAATGTCACCTCACCTAGCTCCTCCATGGCAATCAGACAATGAGGGACCGCGGGGTGAAACGGCAGAGAGGGGTTGGGGCTGCCTGCAGCGGGGCCAGGGATGTCCCCAGACCCTGCAGGGCGACGACAAGGGGAGCAGGGCAGGGGCTGGGAGAGGAAAGGGCAGCTGCAGCTTCTCCCAGTGCCATTTTCCTTCTCTTCCCCCAGAGCAGCAGCCCGGGGAGGGATGCTGCACACTTACCCTCCCCTCCTGGAAAGGGCTGGGCTCAGGCCAGTGCCAGGAGGGAATTTCTCCATCCTCCGTACCTGGTGCTAGCGCTGGGCCATGGCATGTAAGAAATTTAATTACCTAAAGAGCTGCCAGCTCCTGCAGAGCCCAGGGTCAAGGCCAAAGGGCAGAGGTGCCACCGAGCACAATGCGACCCGTTACACGAGCCCCACGAGTGGCTCTCAGCAAGCGTGCCGCACACTGCCCCTGCGAGCTCCCTAATTGAAGCCGTGTCCCACTTTAGCTTTTTCACAGTAAAAAAAAAAAAAAAAAAAAAAGCACAGAGAAAAGCACAAGCTGATCCCTTCCGAGGGAAGCATCCCAGCGCTAATTGGCTTCGGTGCTCCTCGGCGCCAGCTCCTCGCTGCGTTTAATGTCAGGGAAGCCACCATCTGACACAGATGCTCGCAAAGGCCAAATGAGCGCGTGGTGCGCGCACGCCAAGAGCAGCACAGAGCAGGTGGGAAGGAACCCCTCGAGCCCACTTCCCCCCCCCCCCCCACAAGCCCGCTTTTACCCCAGAACGGGCGTTTCCAACCCCAGCACCCAGCAGCAACGCAACTTTTCCTTTCCCTTAAGCGGGGCAGGGGAAGTTCCTGCCGAGAAATGTGTGACCCCATCCTCCAGCTCCACTTCTGCACCAGTCTCTTTTGTCCCCGCTTCATTTACCCGGGGATGAAATTAATGAGGCGTTACTAATGGCAACCTTTAGCCACTCTCCCTTCCAGCGTGAGGTTTGACAGCTAGGTGCCACCTCTGCCCGCACACCCCCGGCCATTCCCTCTGCTCCTGGCCCCTCATCCCAGGCAGAAACGAGCCCGGCAGAAGAATAACAGATGGTGCAGGAGAAAGCACAGAAAATCCGCGTCCTCTGAAGTTCTCTGCGCACAGAGGAGCTGTTGTGCTGCAGAGCAGCATGAGATCTGCAGCTCAGCTCAGCCCCGGGGTTAGACAAACACCATAACCACCGGGGACAAGACGGGGTCTTTTGTTAAAGCCTCCCTGGAGGGTATTCCTCAAAGAGCTGGGAAGGCTCGTGATAAAACCAGCAAGCTCTACCCTGCTCCTTTCAACGCATGGATCTCAGGCTGAGCTCTCCGCGTAAGCCCCCTCCCTCCAAAGCAGTTCTTTGTTCAGGTCTGCTAGCATTAGAGCCCCGTCCTCCTGTGTCACTGCCGTTGGATATATGTGCCCCTGAGGACAGAGACCCTCGGTAAATGTTTAGTTACCGAACTCACGTGCGGCTAGCTAGCAGGGTGAGCAAGCCGGATTAATTAGAAATGTAACTTTCACGGAAAGACACTTCTCCATTTCTCCCCGTGACTTAGAGGAAACGCTTACTCTGCCCGTTTCAGGACATGGGCTTTCTGACAGCCTTTAACACAGCCAGCCTGTAGGAAAACGCTTTTAGAATACAAAAAGGAAAGGATTTGGCAGCGAGGCGGCTGTAGAAATTCACCAAAAGCTACCAAGGACACCAGAAGCCCCTCCAGAGATCACAGGCGTTTCAGTGAGAGCCCCATGTCCCCCCGAGGAGACAAAAGCACTGCAGAAAAGCCCGACTGCCCTCCAAAGAGGGGACAAACAGCACGGGGAGCAGCCAGCAGCTGCGCACGCCGGCGCTGCGTCTGGGGCAGGACTCACCTTGGGGAGCCGTGATGATCCTGGGGTTCACCTTGGAGCGCCCCGCCGCACGCACCCCCAGCCGGCAGGCACACAGGGCCGCCAGGAGGGCCACCAGGGACCTGCTGGCCATCTTCAGCGCTTCGGCGAGCCGAGATCCTGAGCTTGTGAAGCTGACAGCCGCATCGGGTGCCTTATACAATGGAGAAGGAGAACCAATGAATTGTACGGAGGCGTGGCCTTCGATTTCTTTTTTTAAGCGACTCTGCTGGTGCTGGTCCCTCCAGGCTCTGCTGGAGTTTTTGGGTCCTCCTGCCTTTCAGCCCCGCTTCTGGGAGGGGAAGGTGGGGGTCTGACGGCTTCGACCGCCCTCTTGAAAAAGCTGCAGCTGGCGCACAGCCCGCAGTGAACTCAGAAAGCGACGAGGCTCATAGCAGGAACGCTGAAGTTGGTATAAATGAAGTAAGAATGAAAATACCTGTATGAGAAAGCACAAGAAGCAACAGCAGCCCCCGAGGCTGCAGCACTGCTAACGAAGGGTGCTGCTCCTGTATTTAGGGGACACGTGGAGCCAGCAGCGCCGTGCTCTGGCGTTGCAGCAGGGACAGCTCATGGACAGAGCGCCCTGCAGACCTCACGCATCAGCCTTCTCGCTGCTAGCGCTATGAGAAGACAATAACAAAGCCTCAGTCCTAATAACACACGGGATGACCCAAAAATCTGTCATCAAGAGTCTGGTATTCTTCCTGACACAAATACCAGACACGACAACAGCGTCCCTTGGTGTCAGTGATCCTTGCTAAACCAGTCAAACTCACATCCCGGAGCTTACACATGTTTGGATGAGGGCGTGGGTGGGACTGAGTGTACGAAATCCTCCTACGAGCCGTGGTGAGTACACATTCCCTTCCCTAGGACCCTGCCCTGGCTTCCGTTCTGCTCCTCTTTTCCGAAAGGAGGAGATGCCAGGCACACCTGGCCGTGGGGCTGAGGGACGTCACCGTGCTCTGCCAGACCTCCTCTCGCCATCAGGAGGCCAGCACGGGCTGACAGCCTTTGTGGAGCGCTGCGAGGGTTGTTAATGAGAAGAGCAGGGAATTACGCACAAGGAAAGCAAGGTCGGACGTGAGCAGAATAGGAGAGCCCCGTGGGGAACTCGCAGGGCTGAGAGATGCAGCTGTGCTCTTCAAAGTCCGTATTGAAGCCAGACCCGGGGCCGCCCCGCACCTGACAGAGATGAACAGCGGCAGGGCGAGGGGGCATTCTGAAGGAAGCAAAAAAAAAATTAATGAGCCAGCTGCTTGTGAATTTGTAAGGACCCCGAGGAATTTCCCTCCAAGCTTAAGCTTGGGGTTTCAGCTCTCTCTTTAACCAAATATCTGCTTGGGTAATTACGGCGTGATAACACACAGATCATCTCTGGCTTTTCGCTTTTGGACATGGTGATTCCCAGCCTCGAACCATTCTGCACTGCTGCTCGCATCGAAGAAACCGCCCACTCTGCCCCAGAAGCGGGTATTTCTTCACCCACCCCAGGGACCCCAGAGGTGCTAACCCCCCTTCGCACTCGCCTTCGTGCAGTAAAGGTCAGAGAAGGCTTGCTGAAAAATGTGTAATCCATTAAGGCTCTTTCACACAGTCAGGAGTGAAAAAGAAACATCAGGGCACCATTCAGGAACCACCAGCCAAAGCCATACAGCTCATGCTGGCTCCTTAATAAACGCAGGGAGTTGGCATGTTGTACCTACCCCAAATTTAGGCTACCCTATTAAAGTCGCATACATTATCTGCTTTGTCTTTCGCGGCCCGACACAGCTGGTGGGCCGGGAGACTGGCGTTGAACTCCCACTCTCAACAAAGTCACCACGCGGTGACACAGAGGGGTTCTGCTCCGAGATGAACTGGGCGAGTTTCTGCCTTATTAGAGCTGTAAATCCTTCGCTTTGCCCTTTGCCTTGCTTCTGACTAACAAAGCTTGGTACCCTGCATGGTTAGCTTACAGTTTTGTTTTTTTTTTTTCCCCACCTACAGCTACAGACAATGCTCCTGTGTACAAAATCCAGCTTCCAACTCCCCCACGAGTTTGGAAACGTTCGCTCCATCTCCCATGCCACCGGCTGAGCCACCCCTTGAGCACGACCGCGCTGTGGCCCTGGATTCAGACTGATGCTGCAGCACCCACGCCGAGCAGAAGACTCAGCAGACAGCTTGCTGCAGGCTCCTGTTACGTGGGATCCCTGTGCTGGATCGTAACCGTCAGGGCTCCACGCCTGGAGACAGGGGAAGGCTGACAAATCCCTGGGAGAAAGGTCTTGGGGTAGGCCAGGCCAGTTCCAGCCCCAGCAGGCAGCACAGTCGGGTGCTTGTCCTCAGCCCCTGGGTTGCAGGAGATCACACGTGGTTAAACACAAAGCTGCTAAGCCATCTCTACGGGTCAGCTTGCCAGCAAAGGAAAAAAAAATGTGGTGGAACACGTAGGCAGACACAAGCATCCCACCCAACACGCTGATTACATCTCTCTTTAAATCAACAGTCCCCATTAAAAGCGAGCGTTCACCCCAAGGATTTATTGCTCCCCCCAGCAGCTGCAGCTCTCTTTAGGATCCCTCCTCCTCCTCCTCCTCCCTGCAAGCACCCCCAGTGCAGCAGCACGATTGTGATCAGCTGGGGTGAGCCTGACTCACATGCACAAACACCCAGCCTGCACAGGACGTTACAGCATACAGATGAGATCTGGAGGCTGGAGGGAGCAGCCTCATGCTGTGCCACGCACGGAGAAAATAACCCACCTATAAGGCACCCGAAGGCAGGGCTGCCCCGAGAGAGATACGAAGCAGCACGGAGCAACGCTGAGTGCCTGAGGCCGGATGGAGGAGCAGCCAAGCTCACAGAGCTGCTTATCGCCGTGAAAACCAGGTGAGATCTTCTCTCTGCTGTGCCTTCTCTTCCAGAAAGCTAACAGGCGTAGCTCGATCTCTGGCTGCCCTCAGCTGTGACAGCTTCAGAAAAGACCAGAGGAGCAGCTTTCTGCACGGGGCACAAAGGGCTGAGGACATTCGCCAGGATGGTCACTGCTGATGCATGCAGGTGTTTCCACACTCCCTCCCTGGCTGAGATCAGGACTGCTGATCTGCACGTGCTGGCACAGAGACCCTGCTGCTGGATGGGCTGATGCCCCACGAGGCCGGGACACAATTATAAATGACCATTGCAGAGCCTTGGAAGACCAGAGCTGCTATGTTTTACCCCTTGCACTTCACCTTTGGCAGCAGGTAGACTTAGAAGAATTTGAAGAGGAGAAAAGTGAAATTCCACTCACTGTTTCTTTTGGCACTGACCTACAGGACTTGTAGTTCTTGCATAAATCAAGATGGAAAAGCAGTAAAGTGGATCACTTACCAGCAAGCTGCCACACTCTGATTTCAAAACATACAAACCATCCAACTCGCATTCCTTCCACACAGCCTCAGCGGTCACCAGCGGGGCAACCTCAACCACCGCCTTCCAAAGCTGCAGCCCTCACTTCTATCTCTCTGGCACCCTGTTTTGATGCGAGCTCTGCTCCACCTCCTGAAGCTGGACCGGACCGGTTGGTATATCCCCACCCTAGGAAGGGTCACCAAAGGGATGAGAAGTCCCCACGTGCCACCCCAGGGCTTTCAAATCAGCCAGCGGAGGAACCACGTGCCCCCGGGCAGCTTTTCTCTGATAAATTTACTCCTTAACTTGCCAAAGGAAGCCTGCGGCAGAGAGATCTCCTGCTTATCTCCTCGGAGAGCACCACAAACCCAGCTGCCTTGTCCCTTCCTCGGTGCTCTCCCTTCTGCAGCACAGGTCCCCTCGCTGAAGAAATCCCAGTGCCTCACGACGCTATTCACTGACCCAGCAGCTGGCGGGGGTCCTGCCTCAGGAACGGGCACAAATGAGCTCAGCTCTACGTGACCCCAAAGCACACCTCGGCCTCGTCACTAGAAGGCAGCTATTTGTCTGGCAGATGTGTCACAACGCGATGCCCAGTGCTCTAACAAGCAGTGCTGTTGACGAGCAGCTCAGCGAGCTGCTGACGAGGCAGGAAGCAAAACAGCAAGAAACACATCTCCTGCTCAGATTGCCAAGATTGTGCATGCCCCTCAGAAGTGGTTTTAGGCAGTTAATTGAACTCTGAACAGTTCAGTTGGAAGGGACTTTCAGAGAGCAACTGCCTGAGCACGTCAGGCTAACCAAAAGTTAAAGCAGATTCATGAGGGCATTGTCCAAGGCTGGCACCACCCCACCTTTTACCAGTTTTGTGGCCCTCCTCTGGATGCTTCCAAGGACCACCTTGGCAGGACGGTCCTTTTGAAAAGGATGCTTCCATCCTTTTTGTCGTGGAGCCCAGAACTGCAGGCAATATTCAAGGTGAGGCTGCACCAACGCCGAATGCAGCAGGAGAATCACCTCCTTTGACGCAGTGCACGGTCCTTCCCATTTGGAAGGGAATTAAAACAAAAAGAACAAACAAGTTGCTTTGGTGAGATTGATCTGCTGCAATTCCACCACGAGAGCTGCATATTGATGTATTCACGTTGCGCAGCGTGCCAGCTCTGTCTTCCTGCAAGGGCCCTGCAGGGCAGACTGTTTGGCTTACCTGCAGCTCCTGGCATTTCTTTTTTTGGACGCTGCGCTCCTCTGCTTCCTGGAAGAGCCTGGGTTTCAGGGCAGCATTGCGTTGTGCTCTCCTGCAGGAATGGCTGCGTTTCAGCACTTGGCAAACAGACCCCTTAGCAATTCCAGTTCCCAATTCTGCTTTGAAAGGGTCTGTCCTAAGGGTCTGGCACCCACCGCCCCATACACGAGTTTAGCAGAGCCCTTTATCAGCCCTATTAGACCCCCGGAGTCCTCTTAGTTATACCCAAGTTAAGGTTCCTGCTCCACAATCTGCTCCCCCAGCCCCTGCCATAACACGGGCTGGGGTTTTAGTCTATGTTTTTTCCCTGGGAAATCAGTGCAGATCACCTGGCCCCCAAGAAGTCACTTCAAAGCGCTGCTGGAGGAAAAAAACCCCAAGAGTCTCTGACAAGCTGGCCAGACACACAGGATGTGGAGGCTGCTCAGGAAAGAAAACTAATTTAAGGATATTAAGTGGACCTGGTGTTCGAGTACGTTTAAGCACTTATTTCTGTCTTGCCAGGAACTGAGAGATGCCTGAGATGT